TGGCTATTATTAATGCAGCTAGAAAATAGCCGCAGTCTGTGGCGGTAAAAATAATGAACCGCAATGCTCTATTTGGATATCGAGACTGGCTGACAAAGCATATCTACGAAGTTGAACACCGTCTAAGCGGATGTGGGGACGGGCGAGGGAGCAGCATCGCTAGCATCGGCAGTCGGACGGCTATGCGTACGCGAGTGACTCGGGCGACCGCCCTTGCTACGGACGGGGCGGCTGTGTTCCTCGCCACCACTCTTCTCAGCACCCTTGCTGTGGCGACCATGGTGACCATAGTGGCCACGGGGGCTGCTGCGGTGCTCAAATCCACTAAGCTCCTCATCGTCCTCAAGGTTTCTCTCCTCACCGCTCTTACTAAGCCGGGTATGGTGCTTGCCACCCTTGCCGTGGGAACCAGTGGGACCAGCATGGACATCGAAGCCGTACTTACCACCCTGATGGAGCTGACTAGCGGAGACACGGCTGTGGTGCTCACCATCTTTGGAGGATTCCTCAGAGTTGCTATGGTTATGGCTGTGGCGGCCATGGGGCTGTGGTGGCCATGGTGGCTGCCACGGCGCTTGTCGTTTCCGCTGTAGGGTAGTGCTCGTCATTCTCGGAGCTGCTGAACTGCAGGTAGGCGATATCACTGAGGTCAGTAGGGAAACCACTGGGGAGACCAGTAGGCTGACCAGCAGAGAACACGCTGGGGAATACGCTGGCCGGGCCACTTGGGAAGCCGCTGGGAACCCGCTGGCTGAACGGCCAGAATTGAACCAGCCGATCGGACTAGCAACAGAGGCGGCGGCAAAGACTGAGGTGAAAATGATGGAGGCCTTCATTTTGGTTGTAAATGTATCGGCGATTGGAAGAGGGTTGGTAGAAATGCAGCTATTTGTTAAAATATAGACCAGCTATATTTTGAAATGAACGGGGAAACGTAAAATTGGTGAGATGTAGGGAAGCACTAAAGGAATGAGTGTTGGGTTTTCCAACATCCTGCTATCACAAGAGAGCCATTTTATATTCGCTAGCACGATGGATGCAAACACACAGGTAAGGCATGGTCGAGTACCAATTCCTTAGGAGTGTCTGTGCTAAAGGTTGCCAGCAAGTGTATGCAAATTAAACATACCTGGCAAACTGACATGGCAGAAATCACCGGCCTGCTGGACCTGTCCCAGACCGTTAGCACTACAAATGATCCTCTCTGTTTACGGTTTCTTGGCAAAAACCACCACACTTACAGCGCTCTTATCGCAACTGCAAAGCCGTTTATGCAATACAGCTTCTATCTACTTTAGTGTGCTCCACGAGGCTTGTTCGTCGTCCAAACGACCACATGGACCCACCTGGAGGCACCTGGACGACGATCGCTGCTTTGGCTTGCCTCATTTGTGTGTAGGAACGTGTGCCTTCCAATTCTGCCAAGTGATGCAATAGAGACGATTTTCGGTGAGCCAATCTCCACGCCGTTGTATTCTGCTCTCTTTTTTTATTTTTATGAGAAATGCCAAGTGTGAACACTGCTAGCGGCGCACACATTTTTGGATTGAGGGGTTAGGCAGAAGCGAAATGCGCTCCAAAACGGGAGGAAGTGAAAGGCAAGCCTGAAGTTTGGATTCTGCATTCTGCATACAAGCAGGCAGACTGCTGGCCTCACCCTCTGTGCCAGCAAAGCTGTATGCTGCCATTATCTAAGCGAGGCTGCCTTTGAGCATATGACGGATTGCAAACATAATCGCCCTCAAGTTAAAGAGATCTTCATAAAAGTTTATTGCCAATGCATCTGCAAAGCAGCGAGGCCTCATTCCGTTGAAAAACTACAGAGTCCAGTTGAAGTCTGTAAACATGCACTGTATGCTGAGATCAGGACGCACTAGTAGGCAGGCTCATAAGTGTTGTAAGCGCCACTTGTGGAGACAGTATTGCCTTGGCTGTAGTCGTTCGAATCCCGTGTCATCGACGGGATGAGCCCTGCTGTGCCTTGGCTGTCCACGGCAGCGCCCCCGATGCCCGCAGTTCTTTTTTGATCTGGTCAATCTTGCTTTGAATCAACTCAACCACATCTGACGGAAGGTTGGACGGAAGATCAATAGTGTCACCTCCCTCGCAGTCATCCTCGACAGATGTAGCTGGGCCGTCTGTTGGATAACCACTACCTCCAGCGGAAGTAACCCCGCTGGCAACATCGGTGTATGCGCCGCCAGAGGTCTCAGGGGTGGAGTTCTCACCAGTCACATATGCCGACGGCTCGGCTGTAGTAGCAGCACTGGCGACGCTAGTATAGACATTGCTCGAATCCTCGGGGCCTAAAGTATCACTAGTAGTGATCACGTTGGTAGCATCGGTGTATGCGCCAGTAGAGGTCGCAGGGGCGGGACTCTCATCAGTCGCATATGCAGACGATTCGGCTGCAGTGGTAACTGCGCTGCCAACATTGGTATATACGTTGCTCGATGCCACCGCGCTTGAATAGACACCGGTATCGGTGGGTGGGATCCCGGCGGAGGAATAGCCATACGCTCCAGCAGGGCTGGCCATAGATACGGTGGCGAAGATAGAAGCAAAAAACGATGGAGGCCTTCATTGTTCGGATATTGAGCGTGCTTGGTAGTCTGCGGATACCTAGATGGATAGGATAGTAGTCCAGCTATAACCTTACGGATGTGTGTATAAAGAAAGATGCAAAAGAAAAGATGCGTGTGGTACTGTGTGATAAGCTGTAATGATCTAGTTGCTGCTAGGCCACCAGGCGGCTCTGTTTTATAGCCTGAACCTGATGTGCCTAGTCTGCACTGCTGCTTACAATACGGGCACAGATCTTGATATTTTTAGAATTCGGTATTCGCGGTCCGTAGGCACTTGGATCTGACGCAACAATGATCTGCTACCACCAGATCATCTTTGGTCTATACTATAGCCCGCACAGCTACAGTATGCGTCTGCATTACATCATGTGCGAATTATATATTTAATCCTGACCGTTGTGTTCGGAGCTGAAGCCAGCTATTATTAGCATGTTCTTGCACCACGCAGAGTCTTGACCACTCCTTTCTTAGTGACTCTAACAGGCGCCGCTTGGTGCGAACCTGGGTTTGTATAGGAAGACTAGAATGCATCGAGGAGCCCTGTCAATACTGAAGGCATTGCTCGAATAGTATCGGGTGTTCCATATTGCCATCCTTATGCCCATCAGCATGTGGTCGGGTCCTATTTTTAGGGGATCTGGTTGTGAATACTAATGAGTGATAGTATGGCAACTGTATAGTGAAAGACATAGCCAATTGCACCAAATTTGGCATTCGCTGGAGATGCTTTGTATTGAATGACATTAGTCTGCAGCAACAAATAGAAGCATGCTTATGTTTACAGCGACAAATAGGGGTTGTTAACACATGACGCTGCCTACAGGCCTTGCCCTACATTATGCTACTTAGTCTCTGACATGGGTGCCGGTGGGCTTAGCGTGGTACACGTTGTCAGTGGGAACACCGAAGTTGGTCCAGTATGAGGGGCGGCCATGGCTGTTATGCGAGTGAGGGGAACGGGAGTGGCGAGAGTGGGGGTGACGGCTATGGCGCGAAGGGCGGGAGCGGGAGTGACGGCTGCGGCGTTCCTCGCAAAGCTTCTCGACCTCGGCAATCTTGCTCTCAATCAGCTCAATGACATCTGAAGGGAGGCCAGATGGGAGCTCGATCTCAGGGAAACCGCTCTCCTCATCATTGGACCCGTCGTCGGATTCAAGCTCGCTGAGCTCGACATCCGAGGTGGCAGGAATATCGGTAGGAAGCACAGTCGGATAGTCGGTGGGGATAGTGGTAGCGTTGGTAGTCTCCTCAGCCGAAGAATCAGCAGCCGTTGTGATATCATCAAGGACAGAGCTGGAGTCCCCAGCAGACGAGTAGTCAGTCGGGATGCCGCTAACATCGGTGGTCTCAGCAACAGTCGATTCAACAGCGGTTGACTCAACAGCAGTGGTCTCGACAGCAGTGGTCTCACCACCGGTGGTCTCGACAGCAGTGGTCTCACCACCGGTGGTCTCAACAGCAGTAGTCTCAACAGCAGTGGTCTCAACAGCAGTGGTCTCGACAGCAGTGGTCTCGACAGGAGTCGACTCAGTAGCTGATGAGTAGTCAGTCGGGATGCCGCTAACATCGGTGGTCTCAGCAACAGTCGATTCAACAGCGGTTGACTCAACAGCAGTGGTCTCGACAGCAGTGGTCTCGACAGCGGTCGACTCAACAGCAGTAGTCTCACCACCGGTGGTCTCAACAGCAGTAGTCTCAACAGCAGTGGTCTCGACAGCAGTGGTCTCGACAGCAGATGAGTAGTCAGTCGGGATGCCGCTAACATCGGTGGTCTCAGCAACAGTCGATTCAACAGCGGTCGACTCAACAGCAGTGGTCTCGACAGCAGTGGTCTCGACAGCGGTCGACTCAACAGCAGTGGTCTCACCACCGGTGGTCTCAACAGCAGTAGTCTCAACAGCAGTGGTCTCGACAGCGGTCGACTCAACAGCAGTGGTCTCACCACCGGTGGTCTCAACAGCAGTGGTCTCGACAGCAGTGGTCTCGACAGCAGATGAGTAGTCAGTCGGGATGCCGCTAACATCGGTGGTCTCAGCAACAGTCGATTCAACAGCGGTCGACTCAACAGCAGTGGTCTCAACAGCGGTTGACTCAACAGCGGTGGTCTCAACAGGAGTCGACTCAGCAACTGATGAATCAGCACCAGTGGTCTCAGCGGCTGTGCTTTCCTCAGCTGAAGAATCCGCAATGGATGAGTAGTCGCTAGAGTCGTCCTCCGAAATGATGGAGGACTCATCCTCTGAAGAGGAGTCAGCGGCAGTAGTGATCTCATCGAGGACGGAGCTAGAGCCAAGGGTAGAGAACGAGCTCGGAGCAACGCTGGAGATATCGGTGGGATGATAATCGCTGGGAATTGCAACGGTCGAATAGCCGCCCACAAAGCGTGCCTGGTTGGCAATGTTGATAGGGGTGGCCATGGCCGCGACAGCGAGAACAGTGGAAAGGACGATGGAAACCTTCATTATTATTATGTAACTGGCGTTATTTTTGGTTTCGTAAGGATGCGAGTAATTCTTCAAGAATATAGACCGGCTATATCTTAAGATGTAGGAGGAATGTGAGAGAGGAAGGGGAAGGGTAATAGAGCGGAGCACCGTGGAACGAGTGATGACTTGCTAGCATTGCCGGGTCTCTCGATGCCTCTGTTTTATAGGCAGAGACTCGTTGGTTCCATCGGCCGCGGTACTGGCCAGAAAGAAGAGTATTCCACACGAGTTTGTTGGTGTTTGAGTTCATGGGAATGTACACATGCACTGCCTGTGATAGATTGCGACACTATTGCGATCTGCAACCACCGGACCGCTTGGGGACCACGGCTTGCTTAGCTGTGAGCGCAATTCTATCCCCATTTGTGTGATACTCGATGCATGTGTCGTAATGTTCGCCTGCTCGTGCATTTGACTACTCAATAAAGCGGTGTGTGGGTCGTGAGAGCAACTACACATGAGCACGGTATGAACTATTTATAGCAGGCGATCGTTGCTTAATGCTTTCCTGGTTCAAATCGTTTCTGAACTCTAGATTTTACTGTTCCACACTACCAATTGTTCAAACAACTTTGTTTTTATTACATCATTGATAATGCAAGGTACATCCCCGCGAGGTGTCACCGAGTTGGGGTAGCCTTGTCTTCACAGGCCAGCAGAACAGCCCCTTTGGGTTCCAGAGCGGCAATGCGCTGCACGATGATGGAAGTGATTGTATAAAGCAACCATAAAAGAAAATTCCTTGAACCTAAATTACAATTAACTAATTTTCTACTTGTGATGTAGACAGCAGTGCGACTTGGTATTGATGAGCTGGGGCAATTACGCAACAGCATGAGGAGCGGTCAGAACGGTCAGAGCGGCGGAAAGAAGTGCTCTTTAATCAAGTGATCACGTGCAGCAAGCAGATTTGAGAACAACTCGCCACACACATTGCACTTGAATGCCTGTGGAATTGTCGGCCGATGAATTCTGAAATCCATAGTGATAGAGGATCTTTAAGGTTGTGCTGTGGGGGAAATGTAAAATGTATAAAAGGCAATTTGGTGGTCCGGCGACGGAGATTGCAGACTGCCCTTTTTATGTCTATCTGTGATCGATGCCCAGCCCGTCCGCTCGGCAAGGGCCACTGGTCGGGGATATTTGTCATCAGAAAAATATATTGGTCAGTTGCCTCCAATCGCGCCTCACTGGTCGAGTTCCTTCAAAAATAACTTGCACCCGCCAACAATCCCAGTGAATCCCGCTTATATTGGCTCTGCGCAGGAATTGCTTACAAACCAACCCCGCACTACAATCAAGACCGACTAGATTTTGCACTATCCTCATTGAAGACACGACAAACCAACTCCGGACACTGAACCAGGGCCTGCCTTTCGTGGGACACAGAAGCAGTGCCAAGTGATCCGCCTCTGAGAACCTCTAGTTGTTAAATGGAGACTATACCCGATTTTCTGGGCAGATTCAGAAGGCAAATAACACTCCACCGCCTATGCAGGTAGCTCATCTGGATGCGTCATTTCTACGTGCAGCGTGCAGATGATTGATATACAATACCTCCCAACACCTGCCAGCTGGTAGAGAGTCAGGTAACTCTGAAAGTTTAGGGCTGTATCAAAATTGAATTGCGCCTTTTTGCCTGTAGAAAAATTATATTGAGCTCGCTGACCGACACTGTAGTAAGGAAGGACCAGTCGGCGCTCAACGTCCATTCTGTTCAATAGGTTGGTAGGCTGGAGAGGCATTGGTAGCATTGAGAGCAGTGTACAGGCTCTACGAGTTCTCCAGCGGGGGGAAGAAGTGTAGAGTGCGCACATGCTCAGTGGCAGCAGTATTGGAGACGAAGCTGGTGTTACAGTAGGGGCAGGTGTCCATGGCTTGTAAAGTGAAGCGTAGATGTCGTAGAGGTAACAGGGGTGGTATAGTTTTGGGAATTGGAAATGTGTAGTAAGTGCGAATGGTATAGACAAGGGCTGAAAAGCGGCTCAAGAGATCTAGATGAATGCCCATCCTGTTTTACTGGGGGTCCAGGCTTTATAAACAGCACCACAGAACAAACCAGTGCCCATCGACTGTTGCCCCTTGATTTCCGCTGAAAAGAGGAAACCAGAATGACAAGGGAAATCAAACAAACCACCCAACCTGTCATGGCTTGGGCTCCTGTGCTCTCTTGTCATTCCTTGTAAGGCAGCCAACACCCTCCCAAGACCACTTAAACGACCAGCCCATAAACCTTGCCAGTCAAATGACCAGGCCCGATTGTAGTGACAGCATGTTGCAGTAGCCAAGTGGTGTTTGGATCCAGCCCGGGTATCAACTAAAGCTACTTGCATTGCCAAATTGAGAGAAAACGCGGTGCTGATATGTGTCTATCTGGAAGGCTGCACGCTCCATGCCAGTTTCCTTTGCAGAGATTCAAGTGGTGAGTTAGTGCCACTAATTATGACAGCGCTGGGTGCTGGATATGTCAACTGCAGGCTGGATGAAATGAATTTTCTTGACAAAATGCTTTGACAATAGAGACTCTAAATTACATTGAGCGCATGGCAAACGATGGGCTGTGTAGACCTGACTACTTATCAGCTTCTAGCAACTGAGCTATGGGCCAGCGTCGCTCATGCTCAGGATAGGCATACAGCCATTGAGTTTACGAGTGCGGGATTTTTAGCTGTGTCTATGCGACCTGCTCCATGGTCTGAGATTTAGGATCAGGACGCCCAGATTAGCGCCTCCCAGCATCTGCTCTATGACCTCAGCGGAATGCACTTGCGTCACATGCTCCATGGTATTTTTGGACCATTAGCTGCATATATGGGCATACACGCTGCATGTGTGGGAAGCAGCAAAAAGTAGGGACAGCGAGTTTTACGCAAGCGGCTAATGGCCTGCTTCCTTGTTTTCTTCCTTACCAACGAAAGCCTTGATTATTTCCATACATTATCCATTTGACTGTTCAATATGAAATTCACTATAGTTGCTTCTGTAGCTGCTCTAGCTTTTGCCGGGCATGCTGCGGGCAAATCCGGTGTTGCTATTCGTCTAAAGGCAACTCCCCCGGAGCTGTTCAGCCCGTGCCTCAAGAACCCGTGCCCGTCTGGCAAGGGCTGTGCTGAACTTCAGCCGGCCTGCCTTGTTGGCCCGTGCTTCCCAGAGGTCAAATGTATTTAAGTTAATTGGCGTTACCCAAATAAAGCCACTGCCCTTTACTGGGCAGCAGTCGTTGCAAACATTACGATATCGCGCCCAAAGGCCGCATACTCCAGCGGCTCAATAGCAAATGAAGAATCAATGGTTTCTGCTGCAACAGCTGGTACACCACCACTTCCAACTAGCACAGGCGCAGTGGTTGTGATGAGACGGTCGGTTAGCCTGCTGGTCATGAAGAGCTGAATTATCTGGGCGCCTCCCTCGACCATCAGACTACTGATCCCAAGGTTGGAAATCTCCTTGAGCACGGCAGCCAGCACTGGGCGACCCGCTCCATCGACCTTATCAATGACAATGACACGCGCACCAGCAGCCTCCAACTTTGCTCTCATGCCAGCATCATATACAGGTCCACAAACGATCCACGGTAACTTCAGTCTGTGGTTCTCCTTGGGCCCGGCCAGCAGATTGGCAGTGGACGGGAATCGCAGGTGAGTGTCCAGTACTATCGGCTGCGGCTGCTCTACCAGATGACACTCAGGGGCGGGCAGCAGCCGCGCATTAAGCCGCGGGTTATCGCACAGGACCGTGCCAATGCCAACCAGTATTCCGTCGTGGGTTGCTCGCAGCCGATGGGTCATGGCCATAGATTCCTTGCCGCTGAGAAGTAGCTGCCGGCCGGGGCGCGAAATTTTGCCGTCGAGGCTCTGCGCGAAGGTCAGAGTTACAGTTGGCCGATTGTCCGGCGCTGGAAGCGACTTGGCAAGGTTGCGCTGGAGAAAGTCTTTGGCAAGGGCAAATGAATCAGTCATCGTGGAAGGCAGGCAAGTAAGGTAGCGGACAGGGCTGGGTTCACATCTAAGCACCTCAGTGTTTTTGTACTGCTAGATGGGCCCAGAGCAGCATATGGTATGGATATGCTAGTTTCGCCCCCACGCCCTTGTGTCTGATAAGCGCGGAAAATGCGGTTGTTTGGTGCACCAGCCCAGCAGTCTGTTGACTCTCGCAGTCCGCTGCGTAGAAGCAGTGCCTGGAGCTTGCAGCCTAATGAATCGGTCAGGCACGGGTATTTCTGGGACCTCGATCCGACGTCACGCAGCTCCTAAGCGCCTGATCTGTCCTAGATCACCGGCAAATGGCAGATTGCATGGTACTTTCAAAAGCACAGGCTGTGAGTGGGACCATGCCTTTTTAGAGATCGTGCGGGACAGCGGGTCCAGCGGGGGATTTTCGCCCCGCTGCCTAAACACGCCGTCAGCGAAATGGGCACGGTGGCAAAGAGGCAGACTGGCAGTCACTTTCGCACCAGGAATTCACCGCGCCAATTTTTAACAAAAAACTGACAGCGCATATTTACACCTGCTTGTGAACGAAAAAAATTCCCAAGAGGCCCACCGGCTGATAACAAAAAGGGAAGAGGGCCCGGCGCACCCACTGGCCTTGAGAAAATACCCATCTTCCCTCCACTGTACCTCGTGTTTTCAAGAATTCTATACCTACACAAGCAAAAAATGATGCTCCAGACCACCCGCCGCCTTGCTTCGCAGCGCACCGTGCGTGCCAGTGTGCGTGCCATGTCGAAGTTTGCCGTGTCGAGCGAGAGCGTGCTGAACCAGCCGCTGTCGCAGGCCGACCCCGAGCTGTACAACATCATTGAGCTGGAGAAGGCGCGGCAGCGTGCCGGTATCTGCCTGATCCCGAGCGAGAACTTCACGTCGCGCGCAGTGATGGACGCTCTGGGCTCGGTGATGCAGAACAAGTACTCGGAGGGCTATCCGGGCGCGCGCTACTACGGCGGCAACGAGTACATCGACCAGTCCGAGTCGCTG